ACATCAGTGAGAAAGTGAGTGAAGTCAAAACTGTATCTTGTTCCTAAATTGCAAAGATATAGAATGGAATGGTAATGGTAAGTTTGGCCGTTCCCATCCTACAAACATTTGACATCTATTGACTAAACAGCTAGTGTCAGTTGAAATTTATAAAGTATAAAGGGTTTTTTTTAAAACAAATTTTCAGGAAAATAGGCTTGTCCAGTCTACTAACTACTATCAGTTTTTCTAGTACTGATGGGAGTTTCCTTCACCGCCTTTTGTTTAAGATGGTGTGGAAAGTTTACATACACACACACATTATATATATATATATATATATATATATATATATATAAGTGAACATTGAAGTCAACACTCAGAGGTGACAGGCTGTTTCATGCTGGATGCAATCGTCAGGCAGCCTGACAATTGCATCCAGCATGAAACAGCCTGTCACCTCTGAGTGTTGACTTCAATATTCACTTTTATATTTACATACACTCTATCGCTGATATTGAGCACTTTATCCCATAAATATAGCACACCTTAAAACATATATATATATATATATATATATACATACATACACACACACACTTAGTTACATGTGCTACATAATTAGATGTTGTCATCCCTGTTGAAAGTTTCAAGTGATATGACCTTCGTTATTTGGTAAAACTATGATTCTGAAGTGCTTGTCTATAAGATCTAAAAAAGCCTAGTCTTCTTTAAGATCTAGAGGATTAATTTATTTGAAGCCATTTTTAATCATTGATCTTAGATCAATCTTGCATATAGATGATAGTTTAGACATTTCTGAACAAGTTGGTTGCCATGCTTGACATCCAGATGAGTCCAGATCTGATGAGGTTATTTAAATATATCACATTAGTTCATAGGTTAATATTTTATTTTTTTAGCATCTCGTGGTGTCGGAAAAAACTTCATGTAGCACAGCCTATCCTACATTCAATTTCTTTACCTCCTATTCTATACTTGTTATGACTGACCCATGCAACAAGGTATTTGAAGTGCTTAGAGTTTAGTTTAATGAGAAATTTGAGTTAAATGATGCTAAGCAAATTTAAAAGTTTATTTCAGGTGTAATTTAAAAGAAGTTAAAATCTGGACCCAAATAAAAACAGTAAACTATAAGATCTCCATATTTAAGAAAAAAAAATTCTATTCTCTCTTAACAAGTCAAACAGACGCTGAGATGAAAACACCTGGTGTGGATTTTCCATTAAAAAAAAAATATATTGTTGTAAGAAACAGTTTAAAAATAATAAATACAGAGATACAATTTTTTACCTTGTTGCACACAAGGAGTTAGAAGATTAACTGAAATGTTCAAAGGCTAATCCTTATCAGTGTCTGTAATTAAATCCAAGTTAAGAAGGAAGATTAAAAAAATTCCTAAGTGTTGACTAATACACACACACACATATATATATAAATACATTGTTTGAATTCTGTTTATTTTTTCTTTTGTTTCAAAATTTCATGGTAGTTTGTAAATAGTCTTTAAAGTGAATTAAGAATTTAATCGTTTAATTACTAATCAAGAAAGTCCAGATTAGAAAATGAAAACCCATTTCTTTTCTTTTTAACTATTACACAAAACATTTTAATTTGGATAACTCTTCTCAATGTATTTACACAATATACATTGTTCGGACTGTTATAAAAGTGTTGGTTGAAGTAATCTGGAAGCAACTTGAACCAAAGACTTCTGAGTTCAATACCTGGCCATAGCAGAGATGAACAAAAACTTGGAGAGATGAGTTACTGCTATAGGGAAGGGATTGAGTTACTAAAGGGAGATAACTAAAACTGAGATATCCATAAAATGCATGGCATGTGGAACCAGAACTATCTACCCATGTGGACTAAATAAAGGGTTAAGTTCAAAATTCCAATATCTATCACCTGAAGAAGGCTGTAGTGTACAACGGCCAAAATATTGTAGATATGACAATAAAGAAGGGGGACAACAGTCCGAACAATGTAAATAGTGTAAATAGTGACATTACCTCATCTCAGAAATTGAGACAGATCTTTTCAATATATTTTTCTTCCATCTTCAGGGTTTTGTTTTCAAACCATAAAGACAAAAGAAAAATACTTTTCCAAATAGAAAAAATATAGATTAATATATCTGTTAAGTCAATAAATTGGGTAAATGTTCAAATGGTTAGAATGTTATAATTCAAATCTCACCCTTGTTGATTTATCAAAGAATTGACTATATTAACCTGGGAAGACGATCCTTGTGGGAGGCACTGTTGGGAAGTGCCTGAAAACAATGCTAGCAGGTGGATCAAGACCTATGAATATGTAGACAAAAATGTTCAGAAGCCATCAATAGTAGTGCTAGCACAAATCTATAAGTCATCATGACTGAGGGTTTGAGTGCACTGTAATCAGTTATTTTTTAATCATTTCACTGCAAACAAGCCACTAAGATACAAGAGCTTACTGAGTGTTAGAGAATATAAGAAAAAAAAAGATCAGCTACGTAATTGAAAACAGGTATCACTGACAGCTCCTAACACATTGTGAAACAAAATGACATGGTTGTTTTTATTCAAATATAGTTGAATACAGATGAAGAGAACTAAACTCAGCATTATGATCAGGGACAAAATTTAACTAACAAATAAGAGCATTTTAACAGTGAAATAGTTAATTAAAACATTTAAATATTTACTCTATTTGTATTGTTTGGACTGTTATCCTTATCTTGGCTGTCATATTCACAATGTTTCAGACATTGTATGCTCTGCTCTTCTTCAGGTGATTGGAATTTCAAAATTTTATTTCATACATCGAAAAAAGATTATGTCAGATTATGTGCTCTCTTCCAGAAACTGCAATTAACGTCTGCTCGAGATAATACCAAAATACACCATAGTTTAGTTGCATGAGTATTGAAGAAACACAAATGTGTCTGAGCAGGCATCTGTAATAGGGATTAAGTAGCCAACCCTACTAAACTCTTGAGATTGATGGTTGTCTACTTAAGTCAATAGACATTTCTGCAGGAGAAAGAGGTAAAAAAGAAGCTTTTCAAATATATCAACAAGTTAATGGGTTAAACTATATTTTTTTGAATAAAAAGCATACAAAACAAAACTTAGACTATCCTTTGTGTACCTAAGATAAATAAAATAATGCAAACAAAAGTAGCAACTTTTTTTGTATCATTTATTTAAGTATTTGAACATCCACACCAAATTCTGGTACATTTGAATATTTGTTTATAACACAAAAAGTGATAACATTATACTATTTATATTTCATTTTAAAGATTTAATATAAAATAATTCAGCAATTAAAAAGGCTTTAATAAATCTAATAAGAATAATAATGTTTGTTTTTTCCCTCATATTCTCTAACACTCAATCACAATTTTCTCTGGACATCATGAGTAAGGCGATAAACTACATCCGCGTCCTGGGTAAGACGATAAACTACGTCTGCATCCTGGGTAAGACGATAAACTACGTCCAACAGAAAGGCTTCTGATCAGGAGGTTTTGAGGTGTATGGTACCACCTCTTAATTGCTGGTGTTTCCAGGTCCACACTAACTCAAGGTGGTAGCACCTATTAGGCTCCAAGCTATGGGCAAATAGTTAACACCCAAACTTGGGTCAAAATACTATGAAAGTGTAAAAATAGATTTTAATACCAGCAATACATTTTTGGAAAAAAATATTACCAGCAATAAAAATCTTGTCAGCATTGAGGTTGATATGCCATGAAACAAAACAAACAAAACTAAACCTATTTTCTGTCTTCTTAATTACTGTTGTTTTATAAGCTTCTCTCCTTAATGATGTTTTTCCTCAGATTCTCTCACATTCATTAACCCCTTGCATCTTAGTGGCATTATTGCCCTGCTTGAGGTGAAATGATTAAAAAAAAAAAAAAAAAACCTGATTAGAGACGCCTTATTTATATTTTTTGGACTATTGTCCTCATCTTTGTTGCCATATTTATTACAACGTTTCAGCCGTTGTACACTCCAGCCTTCTTCAGGTGGTTGGAATGTCGAACTGAACCCTTTATTTCACTCACTGGGGTAGACTGTTCTAGTTCCACGTGCCATGTTTAATGGATGCCAGTTATCAGTTATCTCCTGTTAATTCCCTTCTCCAAGTTATCCTATGCTTTAACCGGGTATTGAACTCATACTCTTTGGGTCTTGTCACTGGATCTAACTAACACCTTTATCCTCAAGGACACATGGCACAGTGCCTAAAGACATTAGTTAGATCCAGTGACAGGACCCAAAGAGTGTGAGTTCAATACCCAGTTAAGACAGTGGAAAAGTTTCAGAGGGAAATTAACAGGAGATAACTGATAACTGACATCCATTAAAACATGGCACGTGGAACTAGAACAGTCTACCCCAGTGAGCGAAATAAAGGGTTCAATTTGACATTCTAACCACCTGAAGAAGGCCAGAGCATAGAACAGCTGAAACGTTGTAATAAATATGGTGACAAAGATGAGGACAGTAGTCCGAATAATGTAAATAATGTACATAATACCTCATTTCAGAAATACAGACAGATACTAGAGACGCCTTCTCCATCTGAAAATTTTTAAATATAAGGAATGAAAGTACCTTGAAAATAAATATTTATAAGAAAAAATTATCTAATTCAGAAACAAGAAAATGTAATTGATTTTGTTAATATTATGAGGTTTATTGACATCTTCAGAAGAGTAATATCCTATAGGCAGGGCCTAGAAAATACTGATTATATTTTCGGCAGAGGGGTAAGCTCCTACCCCACTATCAATGGATGGTAGTTGATTGATAATCCACAAAAATCAAATCAAACTTTTGTGGCTTATTTAAACCAAAAACATATTTCATATTGTAGGAAGTCATTTACAGTAACCAGTTCACAACCAGTCCCCCACCTAAGTTCTAACTGGGTTTGACACTGCTTAACTTTGGTGATCAAATAAGACAGTGTAATTTGACTGCAAGCCCAGGAGAGGCTTACGGCCAAATCATTTTGAAACACCGGTTCCCGTACGATCACTAACATTAAGCAACATTAATCTTGGTCAGTATCTTGATGGGTGACCACTTGAGAATACCAGGTGCTGTAAGCTTGGATGTGCAGAGAGTGTAAAGGATAATGGCTTGAAGAGCTGAGTTCCAATTCTATTTGGGTTCGTTATATTCACTTACATGTATATACCCTGAGAAAAGGTAGTAATCCATCTCTTCTCCCTCTAGCTATGGGTTAATTAGTAAGACTTGTGTCACTAAATGATTATTATCTCAAAAAAATTTCTTACAATCTAAGAATATTTTCTGGCTTTAAATAAACTGCAAAGGTGTTGATAACCCATAAAGAACAAATCAATCAATCAATTAAATACTGGTTAGCTACACAGGCTTGTCTTTTAGATTTATTTACACCCTCTGGAATATAAATGTATAGAAACTATCATGGTCACGAAGTGAGGAGTCAGTTTAAAATTGATTGTAATATATAATTGAACCCCCATTTTATATCCACATAATTTCTTGTTTGTTTATCAAATTCTAGTTATGTAAGAATCCATTTCTTCTCCCCAGTTATGGGTTAATTAGTTAAAACTTATATCACTAAATCATTATTATCTCAAAAAACAAAAAGAAAGAATTCTTACAATCTAAAACTATTTTCTGGTTTTAAATAACCTGCAAATGGTTGATAAATCATAGAAAACAAATCAATCAACAATCCCAGGGGTAGAGTAAATACAGGATCAAAGTGTAGTATCTGCACACTTTACTTCAAATCAAAGTGTCACTTCCCTGAATATTTCTATCTGATGTTCCAATATCAGTTATCAAATATTCTGGTTAACAACCATGATGCACTGAAGTATGAGATTTCTAGAGTAAAATCAATTTTATAATGGTCAGGATAAATTTTATTTTTCTAATTTTAAACAGTTATACTCAAACAGGAAATAATGAGTTATTCCCACATAAAATTAAAAGTTAGTTCACTCAACTTGAGAAATTTTGTGCTCGTATAGCCTTGTTACTCTGACTGTAATATTGACTTTCAAAATAGACATGCAGAAACCTGTAAAGACGTTACAGTGACCAGTCCTGCACATAGAGTCAGAAATTAAACAATAAAATTGATGCACAATTAAGAGAACAGCTATGTAATTGAAAACAGGTATCACTGACAGCTCCTAACACATTGTGAAACAAAATGACATGGTTGTTTTTATTCAAAGATAGTTGAATACAGATGAAGAGAACTAAACTCAGCATTATGATCAAGGACAAAATTTAACTAACAAATAAGAGCATTTTAACAGTGAAATAGTTAATTAAAACATTTAAATATTTACTCTATTTGTATTGTTTGGACTGTTATCCTTATCTTGGTTGTCATATTCACAATGTTTCAGACATTGTATACTCTGCTCTTCTTCAGGTGATTGGAATTTCAAAATGAACCCTTTGTTTCATCCACGGAGATAAATTGTGCTAGTTCCATGTTCAAAATTCCAATCACCTGAAAAATGTCAGGGCATACAATGGCTGAAACATTGTGAATATGAAAAACACGATAAGGACAACAGTCCAAACAATGTAAATAGTGTAAATAGTTACAATACCTAATCTCAGTAATATAGACAGATATTTATTTAAATGGTGATATTTGTTAGCACTGAGTAACTAAATTACCCAAAGGTGGAAAAGAAAGTATTTTTTTTGTTGTTTTTATTTAATCATTTCAATTCCAAGGAAGTGCACTTTGATGTGGTGTAATGGTTAACAAGCTTGCTTTGCTAGAACAATTACAACTGAGTAGTGAGTTCAATCCTTACTGGGTGCCCCATACTTCTGGCTTTGTACCACATCTAAGCTATGCTTTGAAAAATCACCATTTCAACTCCAAGCAAGGCAATGAAGCCACTGAGATGTAAGGGGGCTACACTGAGAAAAAGATGGGAAAAAAAAACATCATTAAGGAGAGAAGCCTATCGAAGAACAGGAATTAAGAGGACAGAAGATAGTGATTGACATTGCATTTAAATTTTTGAAGATGAAAGTCAGCTGTGGAGCAAGAAGCCAGAAGAGAGTTACACAAGTCAGAAGTGTGAGGAAGAAACTATTAGCATAGAATTTATGGTTACATCTCGCAATTTCAATTGTAAAATGATGAGACATAGTTGATAAACTAGTAATGAACTTAAATTCATAAAGTTTTAATGTTGTAAGCTCATCAGAACAAATACCATGAACATATTTATAGAAAAGGCACAGGAAAGCTACATCACAATGATAGGAAAGTGATTGAAGCTAAGATGCCAGGTCAAGACCAATAATATTTCATATTCGTTTTTGAGAGAAAAAAGATTATTATTAAGGAGAGAGAACAATAAAAGAACAGGAATTATGAAGACAAAAGATAATCAGTGACATTGTTATTTTTTCAAATTAACCTTTAACACCCTGACTTTTTCATATGTATTACTTACTATTTAATAGCAATTTATTCAAATGTATTACTTTATTATATGTATTAATATTTATTATATTATATTATATATTTATATATTTTATTAAATATTTATATATTAATTTATTATATTTATTAATAGTAATTTTTTCAAAGCTCCTCAACTGCGTTAGCCTCATTGTCAATTTCAGTTAACGTTTTTTGTTTCCATAGCAGGATATATCACAATGATGAAATTCAAACAAAGTATTGTTTCATGATCAGAGTTGCCTAAAGTAAAACAAAGTTGCTTACAAAGTGCTAAAGATTATGATATCCTATGGTATTTATTTTTATGAAAGCTGGTAAGTGGTAAACCTTTCACATGGGTGAATTTAAATGGTATTGAACTATTTGAGATTATTTTTCAAACCTATAGCCATCTGATTCAAGTACTGGGTAATTAGTATTGTTAACAATAACATAACTTATGCTGTCTGGATATAAAATAGACTGCACTAAGGATTAAAGTTTCTTTGTTTTCTTTTCCTAAAAACCTGAGCAGAAAATAGTTTTATTGATTTCCTTTCATCTTTTTATTCTATTTTTAAACTCGAAAACTTAACAATACCTTTTGTCCGCAACTAGAAGATGCACAGCTGAATGCATGAAACTAAAGATGCACAAAACTGCAGCATTGACAATTCTACCAAGCACATTACTGCTTTTGTTGCATGTGCAGAGGAAGAATGCAAGACAGGTGAAGATGCACTGGGGACTGTTCAGTTTGTATCCATTCCAACCCCGTCCCTGGTTTTCAAAATCAATAAGCAAATCTCAAAAGAGGGTTGCGAAAGAGTGAGTTTAACTCAATGACAAAGGCATTTAGAAGGAGATGAATATAAGCTAATGATACAAAATTATATTTTTAGAATACTTCAACATCAGTAGCACGTATGGTGTTAATGCATGACTGCATGCAAAAATCAGCTGGGCCAATTATATATGACATATGTACATTATATGTAAGTAATGGCTTCTGTTACGTTAACCCAGTATGTCAATGGTATGAAAGTGGGGCTTGAATGTTCTTGCTTATAAACTGTCATTTTTTTTTTTTTTGGTTTGCTTTGTTACAGAGAGCAGCTGAGTGTCAGTCTGACAAAATGATATCTGACATGAAAGTGCCTATAAAGAAGAGATGTGACATTGACTTTCACCATAAAGACAGAATTATACACATTGACATTCACTGTTATTTGCTGAAGATTTGCAGAGATTAAGCAATGGATGCAAGCATAAAGAGAATTTATATTTATGAAGAAATAGTTCTGGATCATATAGATAAAAGACTTCAAAGAACTCTTTTGATGTGGTCAGATGACCTTACAAGTGGAGGTCTTTCATCTGGGTATTCGTATTTGTTGGTTGGCGTCAAAATTAAGCGAGTTGACTGGCAAAGCAAGTTGTTGTAGAAATCTGCTTCAGAGCAGTCCATTTGTTACTCTTTGCTGACTTGACATCTAAACTATACTACAAAAACCCAGTAACTCCTGATGGAAGTTACTTTGAAGTATTTCTAACCTCTTGCCTTTATGCTGTTTTTCCTTTTTAGCCACTGACCAAATCACTAAAATTACAATAAAACCTTTTTTTTTGTTTACTATAAAACTTAGTTGGTCTTATTGTTGTTCCATTTGCTTTTCTTTATCTTATTACTTTTATCACACATATGAGAATAGACACTGTGTAATACATTACATCAGGGAAGATGCAGATGCATGTAACAATTCCCATTTGAGTAGAAGAAAGATAACATTTTTCTGACATCATAGTTGCTGTTAAAAGGGAAAAAAATAGAACTTGCTCTATCCAGTGGTGTTAGTGAGTTCCCTGTATCTGTTTGAAATAAATAGCAGACATTATTTTCAGAGCATTATATATATATATATATATATATATATATATATATATATATATATATATATTATAATTGGAATAATTTTTGATACCACAAAACAAATATAATGATTTAAAGAAAATGAATTTCTTTTGTATGACCATTTTTTTTTTTTTTTTGCAGGACCTAGGTACCTGAGGCCAATGCTTCATCAGGGTCTTTCGTTGGCAAATGATTTTAAACAAACAATGAAAATGAAAAAAAAAAAACGCCAAAATGGTATGGTTGGAACCGTCTAAAATTTTACGAAGATATATATCGTAAAATTAAAATAAATTCTGATTAAAATAAATGCGTAAATAATAAATTAATAATAATGAACCAACCTGAGCAGTAAAATAGAAAAAATAAGTTGCTCATATATCAAAAAATAAATTTAGCGATCGTGAAAAATTCTCCTTTTGTTTAGAAAGCGATGGTTTAAATAATTTGAGACAGATGGCTTCCAAAATAGACAGATGATATTTGGACCTGCCTCGCATATAATTGAAAACGAGTCCATTGTGAAACGTTTTGAGCATGACTCATTTTCTAATAGGTGTTGCCCGATCGCGAATCGTGAGCTGATTACGAAACACGAATACGATTATCTAAATTTAATTTAATGTGTCTGGGTACATGTTGTCCGATTCTTGTTTCCAAAGCGAAGGCGTGTTAGCCCTATATATTCAGCTTCGCACTGACATTTAAATT